CCTGAGAGTCTGGTTGAATTTCTGGGGTATTTTCATGATCAGGTCTGTTCAAGAGGTCGGAGAAGTGTTTAGTCCACTGCATGTCTTGTTTTTGTTCTGTGGTGAGCAGTCTACCTTGGTTATCTCTGATGGGTATGCTGTGATAGTTATTTCTGTTTCTGCAAAGATATTCAATGCTGATGATACCAGTAGCAGTTTTATTAAATCCCCCTTTTCTTTGAGCGCTGAGTTGTTATGTTATTACAATCGAGGTCTCCGCATACTAGGCATTTTGATGCGTGCTCAGTCCATCCGATGCAGCAGCCACTCGAAGGTACCTCTACTGATTTTTCCCATATGGTTATAGTATCTTCTGTCTCTACTTCGAAGAAGGCACAGATGTGCTTCGACAAACTCAACTCCTCAGTTACGCATCCGTATTAGCGTCAAACATTCAACATGATCCCCCAACCTAGCCCGAACAGCGTTGATGACATCAGGTCTGTCCATGCTTCGAGTGTTACTGGAATCAGCAGTTTTCTCCATGGTAATGCTTGACGTAGCTGTCTGGTAAGTGTCGCTATCCTCTTTTACTGTTTTCCTCGTCCCTTGTGCTGTGTATGCCCTTGCTAATCGTGACCCCCGTTTCGCGGACCCATCTGTGTGGAGTGTCGGCTACATCCCCTGATCAATTCCCCCAGCAGCACTCTCTCGGTGCAGTAATTCTCTCTCTACCCAAAATATAAGCCGTAGAAAGATTCCAGAGGTCATTGTTGTTCTTGTCGCCCTCACCACACGCTCGCTCACAGGCACATACACAACAAGTTAGACACAAATGCTGATAGAAATGAATTATAAAGTAATAATGTATAAATTACATATAAATCGAAAGCTGTAATTACCGTGCTGAAAATCGAACAAGTCACCTCCAAAAGGCGTGTGCAACTCGCTAGGGAAATAAGTGTACTAAGAACATGACCAACTAGGCACCACTAAAAATAAAGGTGTCTTCATTTACCATGTATCTCGCAAAACATGAAATCCAAAATTATAGAATACGGACAGAATTCATCTCAAACCAATGAAATGGCACCACGGATTATAGAAATGTATTTTAACCAAGCATAGGTCGAGGGAAAAAAATTCCGGCGTTGGATAAGACACACATCGAAAAGAACTGAGAACAATATAACTAGAATGACCCTGCACTGGAACTTATGGTTGTTTATCCACGTCTGGGTTTTAGTCTTGTTGCAGAACCTCTGTTTTGTGTACATATCCGTTTCACAGATCCGGCTTATTTGTATGCAGACTGTTGATTTTCTGGCTCTCAAGCAGAGGCACACCAATTTCGAAGAAAGCATCTTCAATTAGTGGACTCTTACGACATGCTTATTAGAGGGCATATGGTCTTCCCCCTCCCCCAGATACACACAATTAGGCCACCACTAGGATAATATAAGACCCGATCTTATTTCCCGGGAAACAGGGAATCAACTTTGTGCACAAATCAACAAGCGATAAAGAGGCTGATGGCAGATGCTGATAAAATGAGCCGGGAATGTTAATGATTTTTTTTTCCTGACTTCCTCAAAAGCGTTCTTGTAATCTATGAAGCGTGTGTTTTGTTGAACTTCTATAAATGTTTCATTTAACACGTGTAAACAAATTACCGCATCTCTGATGCCAGAGCTTTTACAGAGAGCCAAACTGGTCAGTTATTTCCCGAAGAACACACAAGGAGCGGGTTTCATGGTTCGCCTTACAACTGCTGCTTAAACTTTCCTAGAGAAATCAAATTCGCCAATTATATTTGTTTCACGGGCAGTAAACTACAGCAGAAAGTCCTGGTTGTTCGTCCATTTTTGGAATTTGGGTTTGTTCCATGACCTGTGTTTTGCTCATGCATCGATTTTAGAGATCTGGCGTATTTGTACGTACAATGTTGATTTCTTGTCTCTCCGGCAGATGCACTCCGACTTCAAGGAAAGAAAAACTCTAATTAGTTGCCTTTTACAATATGCTTGCACTGGGTAGGGAGGGGGGTGGTCCCCCCCCCCCCCCATGGGGCCCGAAACTAACTCAGAGACAATTATATTTGACTGATTCACAGCAGAGCAGTACTAGTCACACACACAAACGTTTTTTTTTAAAGTTTTTCTCTTCCATGATTGCATATTTTTTTTTAAAGGAAGTTGTAGAACCAACCCAAGAATTTGTGTGTGTGTGGCTATTGTGGTTTTTCCAGACACCTTTTAGGTTCAGTAGTTTGCCACTGTGTCTCAACGGCCTGCTCTCGATACCACTGTTGACTCAATGACACACTATTCGGATGAGAATCCTGCTCTCCCTCCCCAACAACCCAATGATGTGTGAACTGCTCAATCCCTCTTTGGCTAGAGGATCAACTGACTGCTCTGTACAAATATGGACTACCCTCTTATGACCTATATGTTTCAAGTCGTGAGAATGGGTCCTTTCTATTCATTTCCTACAAGTAGCTGGGGACACAATGGTCTTGAACTGGATTTGGGGCCTAAATTGTTGGACTACAATTACTCTGAGTCGTGAGCAGATGCAGACACAGAATCAACATCAATGGAATGAGGACATGAGACTGTCCAGGAGAAACCAAACAACAAAAGTTCTTGAGAGGTCAAAGGTTCTGGAGTAGACTATAAAAGACATCAAAATGACTGCACGGGAAGAATAGAATGGAGGACTTGACCATCAGCCTTATATGATGTACAATGGCACAACATGATTACAATAATCATCAATAAAATCTATATCATAAGAGAAAAAAATCAGAAACATACAAATTACTCATCTGTAAAATGCCTTGCCTATGTTGCTAATTCTGAGGGTGAAATGAAATAACAATTCCCCTGCAGTAATCAAAGTATCCTTAACAGTGTCTAAATTACTTACAGCATTTGTCTCCAAAAATGTACTTCTATAAAGTATGTGGTGGTTTAACTTAACTATTATCTGTCTGTCTATCCTGTATTTCAGGATTATTCATCTGGTGGCCCATGGGCCAGATGCTGTCCTCAGAGGCTTAGAAAGTGGCCCACATATCACTGCCAGTCGTACTGTTTTAAAGATCTGTCTATGCTGAAGCTCAGGCCTCTGACAACTTACCATCCTCATATCAACATTGTGGCCTCTGAGTAAACTTAGCTGAAAAGCCCTGCTCTGTTTAATCCTTGCACCCCCCCCCCCCCCCCCCCACACCCCCACCAAAACTTTCCAATTAATAAAACACAGCTGAATGTGTGATAAATAGTAACATCTTTAAACTATTTAAACTACAAATTAGAGTAATGTGGTCTCATGTCTAAATAAGAAAAATATGTTTTACTGTAAATACCAGATTAAAACATCTTGTTTCAAACTCCTGGTATGATGTGATTAAGCATTTTAGTAGAACCACTGTAGACATTTCATGGTAGCTATAAAAAAATGGGAATATTCAATGGAACTCTTGGAAGCAGTATTTTTTTTAAAATGGCGAATAAAAGCAAAACTAGGTAAAAAAATGTTTTTTATCTCATAACTATAAACACATTTCAACAACATAAAGCAAGAGAAAAAAATTTACACCTGAGGCTAGCACACAACCTGTCACTCTATGACAGAAGCTACAACCAGAGAGAATTAATGACAAAATAAGGAGCTGCACTCTGCATATGTTGCTGAAGATAAAGGCTGAGTGCTAATGGGAGTGTCCCGAGTCATATGATGTCAGTGCTTAACTCATAACCCACTCCAGGAAATAAGGCAAGGGTAGGAAGGTCCCAGCCAACTTCAAGCTTCAATGGGTATGTGTAGAAATGAAGACACAATCTATGGAAACACAGTGCAATCTCTAGTGTTAAATAATCATGGCTGTAGAGTCTAGCAGTAACTAAACCAGGCAGAAGGTGGCTTTTGCTCGGTCCCATGTGAAAGGTAGCAGAGACATGTTGCACCAGGTTCATAGTTCATTTTATCAGCACAGTAGCTGTTAACTCTTTGAGTTCCAAGGAACGCATAATACGTTCGTATTTTCCTATCTAGAAGTCCAATGAACGCATGATGCACACATTTTATTACTTTCTTTACTACCCCCTGGGCCTGTGATGCTAAACCCCCTGGGACTTAAAGAGTTAATATTACTTGAACGAAGGTGAAGTTTTTTTTAATGTTGGCACACATGACTGCCACCTTATGTATTTAGTTTGCATGAGCAGGCCACCAGACTTTGCTGGGACTGATATATTTGTCACTAGTTTTTCAAATGGTACACTGAAGGACATTTACTGTGATCTTTATTGGCACACAGGAATGGGGCAGTTATAGTATACCCATCTGCAGTGATGTTGGATCCTTGACCAATGACTAATGAATTTACTGTGGAATATAAATTAGGAACAATTACTTACTATTTGAGGAGCAGCTGGCTGAACAGTTAGAATGCTGGGCTCTCAAGTGGGAAGGTTCGAATCCACGGTAAGCATAGGGATTTTTTATGTCAGGGACAGAATAAAATCCTCACTTGCACAGTCATGGAGACAGCACTAGCCATAAATCCTCATGCTTAAATCCTCATGCTTTTTTTTCCCCAATCCAGACACTAGAGGCATAGAACTATATATACTAACAATCGTTCTCAGTGTATTCTTGATGTTTTTCTAATTCAAATTTCATTTTACACAACAGACCAGACCAAACTGTGAGGACTGTCTTAGTACTTAGTTTGAATAGCATCGACATCTGTAGTTTGTTGTAACACTAGTTGTGCAGTTCAAGTTGTGGACTGTACTTGAACGTATAAATAATCGTACATTATTCAGCTTTTTAAAAATGAAATTAAAATGTTAGTAAAGGCTGTAAAGGCTCCTCTGTTATCCCCAGTTAAAGCGCGGGTTTCCCAAACAAAACCCACCGTGAATTCAATGACAATCTAAAAGTAAACCCTGTGTTTAGGTGAAACAGTAACAAACAACAAGTGAACACAGGCGACATATTCTTCCTACCTTGCAGGGTATCTAACACGATCACAGTCAACAAATGTGGATCACACTCCTCTAAAGTTTTGCAAAACTCAACAAAAACATTGCGATCTTTTTTCGATATAATATCCAAAAGAACATCTATCCTTCTTTGAGGAACTGTCGGTTCAAGAATTCTCTTTTCTTCTGACACAGAGAAAATTCCTCTTCTGAGCAAGCGAGGAAATACTTTGTTAATATCCAATTCTTGGTCAAATTTTGGTCGCACTCGTTCGAGTTGACGGGCGATCCCACTTTTGCCCGCCATCTTTGAAGCTTCACCTGTCTGGATACTGGTTCAATTTACAAACATTCTTCCACACTCAAATAAAAATCGAACATTTTTGTATTGAATATAAGCAACTCTTTCTATGTTTAATATCAAAATTTGAAAAGAATCATCAATATTTTATGTAATATTTTCCTTAAATTTTATGTTATAAATAGGTTATCGTGAATAACTTTTGAAATATGGCTGCTGTTTAGAGTAGTATCCTTTCGAGCTGCATCTATGACCCAGATATTTTCATATGGGGGTTAAAGGTCGCGCTTGCTGTCGCATGGCGGGGCCAGAGAGGAATGCTTGGCATTTCTACACATGTCTGTTTTCCTGCGAGCTTTGAAATATTGTTTATCTCATATCCCCCGTTCTCTCTCTGCGTGAAAGTATCACAAATAAATTCAGTATGCAAGACTTAATTATTGCCTCTCGCAAATAAACACATAAGAATGAACTTTATGGGGGATTAAATTTAATAAGCGTCAAGTATGTGACGTTGGTCTACAATGTTGGGTCACCTTTCATGTCACTTAGAGTGGAGTTCAGCACAGGAAAAATAAAAGTGACATCACTCTCGGTAGTTTCTGTCGTTCGAATGCAACATGACTGTCGTAGTACTAGTAGTAGATTACTGTACACTCCACGACCATTTCTTTTTAAGCTGTCTCTGCCCAACTGTCAACAGCACAGGAGCGGATGTACGTGGTGTTTACACCCCCCCGCCCTTTTTTTCCCTCCCGTCCAAGCGCACGTCCCTAATGTTGTCTATCTATCTATCTATCTATCTATCTATCTATCTATCTATCTATCTATCTATCTATCTATCTATCTATCTATCTATCTATCTATCTATCTATCTATCTATCTATCTATCTATCTATCTATCTATCTATCTATCTATCTATCTATCTATCTATCTATCTATCTATCTGCCTGCCTGCCTGCCTGTCTTCTTTTACCCCACCAGGACATCACACAAGCGATAAACACCCGATGTCACAAAATGCCACCACGTGGATGAAGACCAACCGCGGAGAGGTCCCAGAAGCCGCGTTCAGCTATTAGACAATATTAATAGCTGGGCTAAATTGCGGCCCTTGACAAGAGACAGGGTGGGGCTTCAAATAACGAAAAATTGCATCCCACAAAGAGATGACTAGATTAGTGGGTATATTCTTTTCAACCCTAAATTATGGTACCTGAACTCACACGGACTGTACCGAATATTCGCTTCGTATTCGCTTCGGGGCCGAATAGTGGACCTAATAACTATTCGGTATATATATATATATATATATATATATATATATATATATATATATATATATATAGAGAGAGAGAGAGAGAGAGAGAGAGAGAGAGAGAAGAGAGAGAGAGAGAGAGAGAGAGAGAGAGAGAGAGATTGCATTTTTCGTTTTTTTTTCAGGGTGTCTTCGCCCAAATCAAATTTGAAGATATTGCTAACGAGAATATGAAGGTGCGATTGAGTTACATCGAACGAACGGCCGAGCAAACGATGGTTTTGAAAGGGGCTGGAGCCCGAAGACAACTAATCACAGACATCAGAACGAGACAGTCGTATTTTTTCAGCCATGTTATGAGAAGAGGGAAAATGGAACATTTGGTGACCACTGGAAAGATCTGTGGAAGGAGGGACAGAGGAAGACAACGATAGAAGATTCTTGACAGTCTTGTTGCATGGCATGGAGGTGTTTCAGCACACGAACATACATGCTGCAGGAGATAGCAGATTGTGGAGAGGTATGATTGCCCACGCCAGTCAGCAAGGCACCTGATCATGATGATACACTATTCGTATTCGGCCGAATAGTTAGTCCCACTATTCGTATTCGGCCGAATAGTAAAATCACTATTCGGTACAACCCTAATTATAATCTGTAGAACTACAAGGGAATATTTAACAATAGACCACAGAAAAAAATTATAGAGTCAAAATTGCAAAGCCTAATTATTAGAATTCAAGTCATTTATTGTAAACATCTAAATTTATATAGAGGTGGATTGCACAGTGTGAGCATCACACTTCTCTTGAAAATAATATTTATTAAATCTCTGCAGCAGTGTTTCCTAAACTTGTCTTGGTCGCGGCGCCTTTTTTCAATAACATTTTCCACGACACCCTAACCTAAGTAAAGTATGACTATTTGTTTCTTGGTTAAATTAATTACGAAGCTTTTACAATATTTCGCGACGCCCCTGTGAAAAAGTCGCGGCTTCCAGCACAGTTTGGGAATCACTGCTCTACAGGGAGAAGCAGTGGCGTAACTGGTCTGCCGTCCCGAAGATCCTGAGTTCAAGTCAGCATCGAGTTGAATGACCTTGTGCCCCAGGTTGGCCCAACCCAAAATGTGTTCTCGCTGAAAGTCCCAGAAAGCAGCAGCAGCCGACATGATATTAACCACAGCACCCATCGATTGTTGACTGGTATATTACAAACAGGATCCTAGCACCATATGCCACTGGCCTTAAAGGGGTAGTGTTCTTACTCTCTTTAAAAAATAATCTATGCAGTATTCGACAACCAGAAGTGAACTTAGGGGCACCGCCACGAGAAAACATTGGCGGAGTGATGATGGCGCTCAGAACACGCTCTCCATCAAAAATTAGGTAAAATGTTGAGAGGAGTCGCTGACCCCCCCCCCCCCTCTCTCTCTCTCTCTCTCCCCCTCCCCCCCCCCACCCATTTCCCGAAAAACAGGAAAATATCGCCACTACCTGACACATTTTCTAGCCAAATAATCGGGTGGGGGCTGAGAGGGAGACTCCCAAGCAATGTTGTGAGGTAGATAGGATGTCACTTTTTACCTTGGATGAAATTATCTTTTAAAGTATTTTGTTTAGGTATACTATTTCAAAGCTTATACTGTATTTATTAAGCATTAAGCTTATTCTTATTCTTCTTCTTCTTCTTCTTATTATTATTATTATTTTTATTATAATAATTATTATTATTATTATTATTATTATTATTATTATTATTATTATTGTTATTATTATTATTACTGATTATATTAGATAGTTATAGTGTACCTCTAAGTTTCATTACAAAAGAGGGGCGTGGAGAGGGTGCTCAGTCGATCTGAGCTCCCAGGTTATGGTGCCTATGCCAAGAGTACAAAGAACAATGTGCATCCCAGTCTCAGATTGTAGGATACTAGATTTCCAACATTTGACCCGCTTTATTCTAACGTTTGATCTTGAACAAGAGTAACTCATCTGAAGTGCACAGGGTTTCATAGCAAAGGCAATTGGAAGTAGCCTTGTGCAACAAAGCCTTGCATTTGATATTTCAACGTCTAGTTTGAGAATGGAGGTGGAGGCAGTCTCTGCTGCCTTCCGCTGGCTTGAGAATTAGCTGTACACACATGCCGTTATTGTAACTGACTCACAGAGCATGCTGAGACAGGTGAAAACAGATATGCTTTGTGCAGAGTGGCAAGCATAATTTAAGAGGTCCCGGGTAGTTGGCATCCTTTGAATATTTTCTCCAGGTTATGCCGGTGTTATGGGAAATGAGCACACAGACAGAATAGCTGGCTCTGCACCACTTAGTGGTGAATTGATGTATGACAAATTAGATATTGTGCGGGCCCTCTGGGGGCGAGCAAACAGTGCGGAGACGCGGACAGATATTTCGGGGGGGAGGTGGCGGTAGAGAAGTGTGCATTCTATCTCCAATCTTGTTTAACTCTATCCTTAACGCTTAAAGAGAAACAGCAATAGCCAACAATCCTGGTGAACAAAAAACAGGTGATCTTTCCGTGTCCTAAAGTGTATGTGTCTTCTGAACTCAGGCTTCACAGAAGAACCAAGTGAGCCATTTGGGGTATTTTCGTGTAGTTGTATCAATGTCCATTTGGTTTTAATGTGTGTGCTAATGAAAACTCACTAATTTCAGCTCAAAGCTCAGAGCCATCCACACCGGACTACAGATCACTTTGTAACCGTTTACAGTGGCCCAATGTAACTGCTATATTGCAGTACAGTTAAACGGGGGTTTCCCGGACTGACACCTGTTTGATTCTCATTTTTGAAATGTTAATCCTAAAAAAAATCTCTGAAGGGACGGGGAAAAAAGAGGTGGTGGTGGTGGGGTGGGGGTGGGGGAGGGACGCACAGCGCCAGTTCTATCAGTCGTGGCTGTGCCGTAAACTGGTCATTTCTACATGTTTTTTCGTTGATTAGCCTATTGTAAACAGAAACTAAAATGACAAGAAAGTATACAGAAAAGGAGAAATCGGAAAAGGGGAAGTCAAAACATGAAATGTATAAGCCTGCTTGACAAACCCAGTTACAGTGAAAAAAACACAGAAGGTTGCTGCCATTAGCCTCCATCAGCAAAACGACGACAAGGAACCAACACACACGCAAACACACACACACACACACATACACATGCAAACACACACACACAAATATACTGACTCTGAAATAACTACATTCAAATAGTATGTACACGACTGAGACAAAGTCATGGTAAACGACATAATTATATGTAGTATGGTATTGTAAACACAGGCAAACATGTGTAACCCACCCAGCCCCCTCACTCTCTCTTTCTTTGCCCCCCCCCCCCCCCAACCAATTTCCCATCCAAGGACTTCAGCCGGAAGTTGTGACCCCCAGGGATTCATTTTTGGATGCAATTATCACCAGAACAAACCCCAGACTACAGTGTAAAGTCGTTAGTTACATGAGGGCACCACGGTATTCTGCCGTGCTGTGTTGGTGGTAAGGTATAATTTTGTCATGGAAGTAGTCCAGAAACCTCGTTGTCGAACGATGAGACCTTGTTAGTAAACGCGTATGAAATTCCGTCCCCTGTAGTGTAAAACAGCCATATTAAGGCACCCGACAGTTAAGCATGTGTTAACAATAAAAAAACGAGATGCCCGAGAAGGACTGCAGAAGTCACCAGAATAGGTAAAATCAGAAAGGAGATCATAAGTAGGAAAAGGCGGCACAGA